CAAAAATCACTAGTTTTGAAACATGTGACACCGAACAAATCACTAGTTTCGTTACGTTTCTCGAAAATGACGTAACGACTCACGCCTACCCGCTTGACACTTGTCTTTGGTCTCTTTGAGTCTGTCAGGCTCGTGTCATCAGACTTACCGCTGTCAGACAATACAGATTATATCAAGTTTCGTTATTTATTTTATTGTAATCAGTAATTGTCAGTAATCGCTAAAATGTGTTAATATACTGAATCCTATAATAGCCATGGAGAAAAAAGAAACAGAAAGTAAACTCAGAACGTGTAAAAAATATTGGATTTATATTTATATTATTGTTTAAACGACATTTGTTCGTTTGTTGTTTTGACGTAGATGTAAAGTGTTGCAATTTGAGTTGAGAATGTGGCGCCACCTCTATATTGTTAGTTATTGAAAAAAAGAGACCTTACAACGCTCGCTACATTTTACCACTTATCCGGAGGAACAATTCATGCACTTTGTATTAAAACCACACGCATGCTACTGAATAAGGGTGTCATTATTATACAACTATATTATTTAAATTTACCATTTTTGATTACGACAAAAACTAAATGTATCTTCGTAGGCATAGGTTATACATTCTCATGTGAGTGTAAGCGATCGGCACGCTTATCGGATTACTGAGTGCTTAGTACACTTCAGTGAAAAAGTCTTATAATTTTAAGTAAATTATAATGAAATATACGTAAGGTATGAAATACGTAATTATAGGTATGAAATAACTGCAAGCATTGTTATTTACTACAGAAAAGATTGACTTATGTCCTTAATTTGAGTTTTAATATCTTTAAGACCATATTAGTTGAAGCAAATGTAATGGAATTTTATTCATCGTTGAATATTCAAACACCACTTTAATATTAGAATTACCTTGAATGAAAATTGTTGTAACCTTTATGCGTGAATTACTCATTGTATTCAACTAGAGAATAGGTAGTATAAAATTTATTGATTTTATCCCAGATATGCACGAAAATGTTTAATTTTTAAATATTTGATTCGAGTAATAAATAAAAATTATATAAAAACAGGTTTTTATAATGACTCGTGCTGAAAGGATAGAAGCGAATAGATAAATATGTTGAAAAAGTCGTGATGTTGAACCCAAATGCATTTCTTATGTTGTTAACTAGCGATCCATCCTGGGTTCACACGGTCGAACTAATTTTTAAACATTTCATTATAACAGGCTTACTAACTTAGAGCGAATATAATCTTAATAGCTTTCGCCCGCGACTCCGTCCGCGTGGAATTTAAAATGTCGAAAGTGAGTACCAAGAGTTCTTCCAGACTATCCTCTACGTCTATGCCAAATTTCATCGAGATCCGTTCAGCCGTT